TAGACTTGCAACCAGAGAAGCCACAGCTCCGTACGGGCAGAGGGAGAGGAGTTTCTGTGGCAGGGTTGTGGATGAGGAACAACGCAACCCCACCCAGCTGCAGCTTCTCCCCCGGCCAAGTCAGTGCTGGCTGACCACGCGCAAGCGGCCTGGGACCCCGAGGCCAACCCTTGGAGAGCTGCCCCAGCTCCTGCCACCAACAGCCAGGCCCAGGGAGAAAGGGCCGAAAGCAGAAGTGGCAAGCCAGGGTGACCTCTCCCCTGCACCCCTGCGCCCTGGCGATCTCAGGGGTGCAGCACCAGGTGAGTAAGAGCAAAGCCTGGCCTGGGGTTTGTCCAGCTGCTGACCGCTTTTGTCTGTCCAGACGTGCAGCTCCTGCGCCAGCTCGGGGATCACCAGGAAGGTCCTCCAACCCTGGCGCTTCTTGGATTTGAGGATGTCTCCAAAGATATGGTCTCCAATGTACAAGATATCCTTCCCTTTGGCCCCCAGCAGGTCACAGACTGTGTCCGAGGAGCCTGAGAGAAGAACAGCATGGCTCAGAACACAAAGCCAAAAGGAAACGTGTGGCTCACTTCAGAGGGCCCAGGGCAGGGATGGAGCGGGTGCATTTTCCTCCCAGAAATCCCCACTGCTAAACGCAGCACCGCTGCTTGGCCACGGCAGCACAGGGCACTGCCCGCCCACCTGGGAGCTCACCCGGGGGCAGCTTTGCCCCCACCCCCCCTCCATGAACGGCAGCAGCAGAGGGGCTGTGCTGCCTCCCACCCACGTGAGAGTAACGGAGCCCCAGATGTCACGGCCAGCCCTGTATATCCACCCGCTGCCCCTCCCGGGTGCAGGGAACCCTTCGAGCGCAGTCACGCCGGTGGCAGCACCGTAAGGATAGCTGGGAATGTTGCACTGGGCTAGCAGCAGCTCCCCCTTCCCAAGCCCCGCAGCGACATTTCCCAGGCCGTCCCCGGCAAGGAACAGCAGGGAGTTTGAGGAGGAACAGGTCCATTTCTTCCCCACGCTGGGCAGCAATGATGATGGAGAGCTTCTGGCGCAGGGTGCAGAGGGCACAGGACAACGTGTGTGGGGAAACACGACCCTGCCCAGCGCCTGGCACACATCCTCTCACAGCCGGAGTGGATGAAGACCACGAGGGCACATCAGAGCCACTCCACAGGCCAAGAAGGGTTCTTGCCTCACCTCCTGAGTACACGATGCCGTGCTGCAGTGGGCCTGTGTAGGTACCGATCTTCAGCTTCCCGGTCACCTGAGGAAGGAGACACCGCGTTAGTATAGACAGCTGACGGTCTGGATCCTTTCCATCCCACTAGTACTTCATTCTTTGTCTCTCTCTTCCTCCCAGGCAGCCTAGAGGTGGCTTTCCACATTCTTTTCCTATTGCCACCAGTGGTACGTTAGGGAAGCCAGCAAAGCCTCGAGCTCTGCTGTGCCCCAGGTGATGGGGTAGCTCAGGAATCACTAAGAGGAGAAGCCAGCCCATCACCTCTGAGACAGGTCCTGTCTAAACACTCTGCTGCCCATTGCCACTGAGACATGCACGAGCCCTTCCAGCCACAGAGGTACCCCCCACGTGCCACTCACCGTGTCCACCTGCCGCAACACAGTGCCTTCCCCAAAGAAGAGAGGTTTTCGCGCGTCCACCAGGATCAGGTCGAAGTAGGACTGCCATGGCCGATGGGCACTCCCAGGCTGTGGAGGCACAAACAAGGCCCAAAATCAGGCACAACACGATCAGCCACAGGGAGTTTAGCTGGAGTGTCACTGCCCACAGCCATAACCTTGTGACGCTGCCGGTCCATCAAAATCCCCGAGCTCGTGCCTACTGTGGTACGATGCTGGGTTGCCAGTGCCATCTCCTAAAGCACTCCCCTTTCGCAGCAAGCCCACCCCAACCCAGCCTTGGAGCAAGGACTGGGGACGTGGTGTGAGACAGGGGAGCTGCACGCAACATCCACGCCACAGCACAGCTGCCGTGTAAAGGGATGCTGTAAACGACACCGCTCCTCTGTTCCTGAAGGTGACGTCCTGCACGGATCCAGACACGAGCGATGTCACGGCTTCAGCCTTACAAGGCCACATTGGCACGTTTGGCAGGAGTGGGAAAACGCCGGGATTCTGTGCCACCGAGCGCGGCCCCGAACCACAGCCCTGCCTGAAGGCCACCGGGCATTCACGAGCCCTCTCTGTTCCATGCTTTCACTCTTTCGGAAATCAAGACCACAGCAAGGAGTTTTTTGAGCTATCAGCTGCGGTGATTTTCCATGTTCTGAAAATGTCTCCCTTGGCCGTCTTCTACCTTGAGAGTTCAGTGTGAAAGCACATCTTTCGAGCGTGAGATAGGCTCCCACAGGGAGACTAAGAAAGCAGCATAAATTCAGCTTGTAAGCCTCTCTCCAGAAGTTGCAGGGCTAAATTTTGACCTCAGAAAACCAGAAAAAGCACGACTAAAACTTCTGAAGTTACCACAGTCAAGGCACAAGCAGCCATACATGTTTCTGTTGTCTTATAAAACTCTCTCCATCGAGGTTTTTTTTTTTTTCAACTACGTCTAAAATACTGTGCAAGATTTCAAATAAACCTGGCTGCAAAATGCCACAGTTAAAATGTGTTATCAGTACAATAATGTTATTGTTAACACAGATTATTGTTTGAGACCAGATGATGCCTCTTTTCTCTTGTTATATTGAATTTGCTTTGCTCCCATTCAAATAGGACACAAAACAGCAAGTGTATTTTAACCAGATTAAAGCAACTAATCCCATGCAGCCGACGAAGCAGGATTAAAATGCTTTCCAGCTACACAGATAATTAGGCACATCAGCTCCTACTGGAACTGCAGCCTAGAAATCACGTACCTTTGGTCCGTGTGGAAAGTCAAACAAGTAAGTCATAATTTTCTGAAAGACGGAAAGAAAGTATTCAAAGATGTGTTCTTAAACATATATTTATGTACTTTATAAAAGCATATTTTTCTGGTTTTATCTTTTCGTGTTACAGAACTTTATTTTCAGGATTTACAGGAAAGCCAGCATAAGATTTGGAGACAAAATGAATGGATGGAATTTACAGTAACAGGAATTAAAACAGTAATTTTTATAATCAAAGAACACATTTGCCTCAGGAATGTGCACCCTGCTTCAGATATGTCCTGCAACACTTTAAACTGGCACATGAATCTTTGGATTAGCAGTGTTGCAACACCCTGACATTCACCTGGAGTTGAAGTAACTGCGTTTAATCCTGCAGTACAGCAGACAGCCCTTTCTGGCTCTTAGACCTCTCTAAGACCACGGCCTTGGTGACCTCTATGTACTAAGAACTACCTCACCTGAAAGGAAAGTTCTGCATTTTAAAGTATTTCAGCATTTTCTGCTGAAATGTAAAATGAGTATCACTTTCTCTTTTAATTGCTGAGGAACTGAGTGAGGCACAGAAGGATTTAAGCCAGGCCCATACTAGGTCAGCAGCAGAACCAGGACTATAAAAGATGACTCAAGACCTAACCTGCATTCACCCCTAAACCATCCTACACCTAGCTTAGAAAGCACCTGATTCTCCACCAGGACATGTCCTACCAAAGCCCATACAAATGAATGGCTGGCTTTTGCTTACTCCATTATCTACCAACACAACAATACAAGCAGTGCTTACGTCTGTGTATTTATAGTCGCTGTTTGTGACGAGAAACACCTTCCCAACTTCATTCATGCGGCTGAGCAGCAGCGGCAGCTTCCCCTGAAAGCCAAGGGACACACAAGTCACACACAAAAGTTACAGAGATTCCTCATGGGCAAAACGATCTCAACTATGATCCCACCAGACAAAACACAGCAAATCAAACCAACAAGCAAGCAAATCCACGTGTTTTGCACAGGCCAGAGCCAGGAAAGCTCCTGCTCCCTTCCATGTAACACCCCTCGGGAGCACGGCGCAGGGGAGGAAGGCGAGGGGGAAGGGCTCAGCAGGGCTGCAGTGCCTTTCCAAGCACAGCGCCAGGCACCCTGTGCTGCTCCCACTGATCTGCTCTGGGCCAGGCATGCTGGAGCAGCTCCTCCAGCTCCCAGTCCGTTCCCGAAATGGGCCCAGAGGCAGGTGAAATCTGAGCTCACAGGAGCCACAAGTTGGAGTGTATTATAATTCCAACCTCAAATTAGGGAGAATTTATTCCTGAGGCTATTTTTATTGAATCATAAACCTCAGTCCATTGCCAGAGCAGCTGATTACCTCACAGGACAGTTTCCTAAGAATTTTGCAGGCATGTAACTAGAAACAAGGTTAACTGCTTTAAAGTGATACTCTATCACAGAGCTCATCTAAACTGAAGAATCATTATACTCTAAGTGGTCCAAAGGGGCCTTGCACATTGCAGAGAGAGGAAAAGTAAGAGAACCAACAGAGCTTGCTCAATTAGATGTGCTGAACACATATTTTGGGGCTACCCAGAGCCCGGGCACTGAAGAGTCTGTCAGGATCTTTCCCTCAGTCCCTCACGGTTAAATGCGTGTAACATTTTTGTTGGATGGCGAAGGAATACTGCTGTCTAAAGAGATGCTCATCTGTAACTTTTTAAAAAGAGGTCCGCTTGGGCAGAGAAAATGTGGGCAGGGAACACAGTTGCTTTCACCACCAAAAGAAACAACACGAGTCTTGCCAGCATATTCACCTGTGTCCCATGATAACACTGCCTCTGGCTTTTATTTTTTATGTAAAAACAATGCACGTGAATAAGAAATCACGTGGATCACTGGCTCAGAATAAAGGCCGCGTTCGAACTTTCCTCTTTGCCTTTGGTTATTACAATAGAAATCACAGCGTTATCTGTTTTGTGATTTAGTAAAGCAAATCAGCATGTTTATTTCTTGCTTGCTTACTCAGTACAGAATGTCACGCAGCACAAGTGAAGTAACTTCACACTTACATCTTTCACCACGTACTTTTCCAGATTCTCAAGGGTCTTTTCCTTGAGCGATCCCTGAAATACAAACAACAGAACCCAGTGAGGCAATGGAAACTTATGATGTAAGAGACATCAAAGTAATGCCAACTTTCACACTTTAAAATGCTGTGAAAGTACAAACCAGGGCGAATCTGAACCCGTGACTCTAGAGATGAGAGGCTTTGAGTAGCAGGGACCATCACAAACTCTGTGATCCATCGATTCCCTCACCATGGTAAATAATCCACTTCAACAGCATTTTAACCCTTTCAGAAGGGAATACAATAGAAACAAACAAAAAATAGATTTGCCATACCAAACAAGACAGTCAACGACCTGTCTCCAACACTGACCATAATGCTTTACTCAAAGGCCAACTCCACCATGTATCACACAACAGTGCGTAAGGAAAGAAAAATAGATTCCTGACTTCTGCATGGCTCAAACGACCACCACAAGTGTAATTGTGAGCAGAGTCCTCCTGTGACAGCCCTCCATCCCACCCCAACAGACCTCTTACAAGGGGAAGAACAAGAAATCGGGTCTTTAATCAGACGTTAATGCTCACAAAATTGTATTCTAAATTTGTGCACAAGTGTGTGAAAAGATGAACTGCTTCTCCTCTAAATAGAGGAGAGTTGCTGTATTTCTCTGTTTATCACAGGTACTTTTCAGACAACATAAGATAGTACCAATGTAAACTATTTACAGTAAAATGTTGTTTTAACAATTAGGACAACGTACAAGTTGTAGACTGTAAGTGCATCACTTTCTAGAACCCGTGAATTACAGTAGAGAAATGGAATCTGGGCACAATAAAAAGGAACAGGAAGCCCACACAGATATGCTCCAGTACCCCAGTAGGGCAGCTGAGATCCTGACTTACTCACATACAACTGCAGCCTACTATTTGCTCACTAGGCAGCAAAGCAGGGCTCCTGCCCTAAAGTGGAATAACACATCTTTACTCATGACTTACAGACCAGTCCCTCTAACTCTTTTACAACTACAGATGTCCCAAGGAGTTCCTGCAATCACCTTGTAATGAACCCAGTCAACAGCATCTCTGACATCCTGGAACATACTCCTGAAGGACATGAAGAGGTCTCCATCTTTAAACCCCGTTTCACAGCTGTGAGGAGAAAGAAGAGAGATTGCAGTGGCCACTCGCAGCAGGTAAGAAACACGTCAAGGAGAGAGTTAGGTCAAAGCGTTGTTTGGAGCTTGTGTTTTCATCTTATCATAATGGTTTCTTTTTTACTACTTTACGGTGGCTCGGACTTGAAAGAAGGCTACAACCAGAGTTCAACAGGATCTGCGTGCTGCCCAAGAATGTTTGTTTAAAATTTCAGGATGTGAGTTCCTAACTACAGGCCTGTGCCTCCATAGCAGGACTACAGCTTTCTATGATGGCAGCTCTTATTTGTCCCCTGGAGTATTACAAGAAGGAAGAAAGACTGGGACTGTGCAGTCTGCAGCATTTTACAAACAATGGATGGTACTGAGAAAGTAAGCAGAGTGCTGTTCTTTCTCTGTCTTTCCAACACTAAATAAGGGGGTGCTGCGGAAATGAACTAAATGTAATGTCCGCTGCTGAGAGGTGGAACTGCTTCTGTATTGAACAGTAAAGATGAAAAATTTCCTCTAGAAAATACCGTGGAGGTACCTTTGAGACACCCATGAGAGTCTGCATCAGAAGAAATCAAGGAGGATTAAACAGAGCTGTATTTATTATGACAGCAATCATTATGCCTGTCCTGAGAAAGGATACTTCACCTGATGGATTGTTGGCATAAACAGTTCCTCTGCTCCCAGGTGAAATCCCATTAAACCTTTGCCTTCCACTCACATAATATGCAACGATGACCCATCACATGGAGTCAACAGCACAGCACTATTCACATTTGCCAGTTCAAACTGCAGCTTGTTTTTATGCTTATACCTATTTGAAAACTAGGTAAATACTCGTGCTGCACAAACAGCCTTTTGCACCACGCTGTGCCTGAGCTTTTCACCTTTAAGTAAACAAAGTCCTCCGTTACGACATGAGAGGCTTGTGGTAACTGGCTGAGGAAATTTAGTGTTTCAGTTACCAGTCCAAACATGGCTCCGTTGGACATGGGTTCAAAATGAGCTGTCTGGTGCCTGCAATCACCCTGTAATAAGCGTGTGGTCTTAGAAGCTGGCCGAGATACCAGTGTCAGTCAGTATGGTGATACTGATACACCCCATGAAGGAGACCCTCATAACCAGTCTCTGCTGCACACACAAATCATCTCGTCACCACTAAACTCTCTTACGGTCACAAGTGTAAGAGGCCTGAACTTTTCCCCACTGAAACCACTTGAGGGGCCTCCACTGATATGAAGAACAGCTCCATCTGTGCTCTACTGCTCTTTACAAGAACAATCTTACCGTTCCATCAGCACCTGGAACCTGAGGGAATACACACCTAGTGTACCGGTCACAGTTAGTAAAGAAATCCACTAGGCAAGCCAATAGGTAGGTCTCTGCAAAGAAACAAAGCAAGATTTTAAAAGAAGGATAACATCATATGGTCAACTAAATTTGGGCCTGTGCCCAAAAGAAGAAAATTCATGCAAAAAAACCCCAGACAGCTATGGAGAGAAAGACATCAGCAAAGCTTTACTGGCTTCAAAGGCACAGAAACAGGCCTGTGTTGGCTCACGTCAGACTCACCTGGTAGATTGAATAACGTGTTCAGAATGTAAAACCTATCTGTGTCATCCCTCTGGATAAATTTATTTGGATATTGATCCCGTGTTTCAGGCCTGAGAACAGATAAGGTGAAGAAGAACGAAATCACAAAAAAATAATGAGGATAAAATGTGCTGACCTGCAAAACACAGTCGTAGCAGGGCCCATTAACTGGAGTCTGTTGTGCTTTAATCAACACCCAGCTTTCCCATGTGCACCAGCAGTGCAAGAGCAAAACTGCATCTGCTGGCTTCACCATGCTGGCTCAAAGCCCTCTTCACTGAGTCAGCAAACTGAGCAGAGCCCACACAGGGAAACTGAATGGTCAAGAGTCCACAACTCAACCTTAAGCCCCACGCTGCAGCTATGAGGATGCCTTAAATCATCTGCACTTTCATTGTTTGCTTATCTTAAACTTTCCCCCACTTTCCATGTGCAGCTTTCAGCAGAGAAGTGCACGGCTGCGCTGCGGCAGGCTTGCCTGGGGCCCTCTGCAATTCATCAGCAGGGTGGAGAAGACTGAAGTCACTTAATTATTCTGATTTCCTTCATTTCTGGAGCTCCAGAAGATCACCTCTGACTCAAAGAGGAACTCGAATGCGCATATAAGGGCTTTTTCTAAGCTTTGGCTTCCTGATGCAAGGAGTCACAGGACTACAATGACAAGGCTCATCACCTTGGGGGCCCCGGGCTGGGCTGCGCATGCCTTCCGTCCATCCACCCTCACAGCAGGGATATGGGGGGATCTGCTGGCACACATCAGGCACTAGCACTGCGTCTCCTCTGCTTCCTAAAGCACCTTCTCTGGGGCCAGGGAAGGCTGCAGGAAACGGCACGCAATGCCTCACTTCTGACACCCTCAAAGGTCAGAAACACAAAGGGGTAGAGTGAGCTTGTTCTTTCCCTGAGCCACCTCAGGCCCTCTGACTTTCTCAGCAATGGCTTTGGAGTTAGCAGTCTCATGGGGCACAGGTCCTCTCTGCTCCCAGCAGCCCTCACACAACAGCTTTGTCCTAACTGACAAGCTGATCATGTTGAACTGTGCCAGGACAGCGAACAGCCCCTGGCTTATCCCACTGACCCCTTCCCACAGCACACTTTCTGCTATTCCCAGCACACTACAGATGTGCCTCTGCTGGCACGGACCTTTCCTCTACAAACATGCTGGGCCATTGCTGCATCTGGGATGCTCAACGCACCCCCGGTCAATCCTGGAGCTATAGGAACAGCAGGACAGCATCTGCTGTTAGTGGCATCCCCGTGACACCTTACGCAATGGGTACCCTGAAGATCAGTGACACAGAAGAGCGTATTAAGTCAAAAAAACCAGCCCAGACTCAGCACTCACCCTCTGAGGAAATTAAAGCCATGTGCACACACAAGGAGATTCCCATAGGCATCAACTTTCAACAGGTTCCCATAGTGGGTATCAAACACCAGGCCTCTGTTAAGAAAGCGATTTAAGACATGAAGAAGTGAGCGCAGTAAGTGGTGACCATTTTAAGAGCAGTTCTTTCCAAATTAGCTCTAGAACAGCTTGCCCGCTCAGCGTGGGGCACCAGAACAGAGTTGCTGTTATTACGCAGGTGGGGTCCCTACTGTCCCTTTTACGTAGCTGCAGGTGAGCAACAGGAGCCCTGCATTGCTGGGCGAGAGGTACAGCCGGTCTGCTCTCCGCAGACTGGGAAATGGGACCGTTTAACCCGGCAGAGGCTTCGCTGTGCACGTACCGGGGAAGACGTGGGCCCCTTCCACAGGGTCACGAATCTGACGCCTGTTTGTGGATCCCTGACAGCCCTGCTGGGCTGCAAGGAAGAGCGAGGTGGGTGTGATAAAGGAATTTCTCCCCTTTTTCATCGCTCTGTCACAGACAGAGCCAGATGGGGAATATAAGTATTGCACAAAATGCTTTGGACATTCCTGGTTCCAACTCTAGCAAACCTCTGTCTCACTCCTCTAGCAGCTTGCATCTGGAGAACGCAGCCTTCCCACAGAGACATCCCTTCTGTCCCCTCCCTGGGACGAAGGCCGTGGATTTAATGGAGTCTTCATCACAGGTTTGTGAAGGGCACCCAGCAATAGTCTCGGTATAAAACATGCTGAGAGGAGGGGGGGAAGGAGGCTGCCAGACTGAAAACCGGAGAAACGATCCAACAGAGCCTCTGGTCCAGTCTTGTAAAGAAGCTCCAAAGGAGTCAAAAAAGCAAAACACAGCAAAGACACAAGTAGAAACAACTTAAAGGCACAGAGTTAGATCAAAAGGCTTGTTTAAAACAAGCAATGTCCTTTTTACATCTACTACCAAAAGACAAAATGTAAGAATTTAGTAACTTTGCACCATTAACTTTGCTTTCAGTGTTTGATTCGCCTACACAAGTGAACTGGATTGATCCCACTTTTACTGCTGTTTACTGTCAGCTTAATTTTCAGGATCTCTTAGATACTATAGAGCACTATTAATTATAATCATTAAAGAAAAATGTTCTGAGACATTCTAGCAGCCTCACGGACAGCAACAGCTTCTTCTCCCCTTGATTTTGATTTAACTCCCAATCCAATTGTGTCTCTGCTGTCTTTGCTTTGAAGGGTTATTTCTGGACCATGTTTTCAGCAGGGCTCTTTTCCCGCTTTCTCCCTCTTTGCTGGCATGGACTCATGTCCGCAAAGGCCCTCCACATACTGGAGCGGTCTGCTCCCTTCCCCATGATCTGTGGTCAACCACAGGCTTCACAGGCACAACTCTGAAAACCTGGCCTCACGTGTTGCCTATGAACTTTACAGAACAAATATTCAAGGCCTCGAGCAGGCTGGGTCAGTATCTGTTAGTTATTTACCTGGTAGGGAATGCAGGATCATACACAAAATTGAGCAGCTCATGAGGGTATCCAATGGAAACTAATCTTTCTACGGTCAGGTCAAATCCAAGAGATTCGTATTCGGGGGATTTATACACTGTACCAAGATGAGATTTCAGTTAGAAAATTTGAAAACAGCTAGGGGGTTAAACAAGAAGGCAGTTAAAAGTAATGTACCCGTTCGCCCTCCTCCCTCCTCCACATCACACACTCCCTCCATCGCTCCTGCCAGTCGCTGCCTTGGGTCCCCCAGCCCCGGAGCCACGCTGGAATTAGCTCACGCTCCAGGACTGCAGCCGAGTGGAGCCGCAGTTCAGGTTTCAGCAGCAGAGTGCACCAGATGAAATATCCATCAGTCTACCACAGCTCTCTGCGTCAGGAAAAATGTATTTCAGACTGCAGCTCCTCTCCCTGCAGCCCTGTTAGGCAGATGCACGAATGCTCCCTGTTTCACCTGCTCGCATCAGGTTTTGGTTTGCTGTGTTTTTGCAAAGCTGACGAACAAACCAATAAATTTAGCGAACACATGTATTCATGGTTAGAAAGCCTGAAATTCATCACTGCTGTGCTACTGTTACTGCTCTGGATACAATCCCAAAGCTCACTTTTGTCTCCAGATCTCACCTCAGGGGAATTTATGTTTGCTGGAGACTAAGTTAGCTTGAAGGTAGAGCTGTCAAGTTAACATGATTTGTTTGTTAAAAATACCATATAGTACTGTAAAAATCTGTTAGCTATTACCCCTGTGCATCAAAATGCTACTCTCTCCAGAAGCTTACTGTTCTCACATTTCAGAGGAGCTGCTCATCTGTGACACACACCTTAGGTCAACGCAAAAGAAATGGACTTGTTCAACCAAGTCATTCCTACCACCAGGCCTGTCTTCTTCCTGCAAATAACCTTCCCGTGTACTGGAAATGTCACTGCTTAATCAGATCATTAAATTAACATTTAAAAGAAAATCACTGTGTTTCTGTGACAGACGGAAATCACTGCATTTCTCTGATGGTGTGTGTTTACATTTGCTGCATGTTGCTGTCTTAAATTGGTCCTAAGAGGTAACAAGGTCAGATACAATCCTTGACTGCAGTGAGGGTTACCATGAGTTCAATGGGCCCAACTGGCTCAAACATTTGAATATTTCAGATTTAGCTGAGTAAAACACAAAAACATGCAAGTTGCACAGTAAGCTCATTAGAAGACAGGCTGCTTTTCCTCAGAAGCCTCTAGCACACCTGTGGGCCTCACAATATATATTAAGACACATTGTCTATGCTGCCCAGGTAATCACCACCGTATATATACTGTGGAATACAGAAGCTCAATCTGAGAGGAGAAAACATATATATAAAATACTAGAAACATACTAAAAAGGCAAGGACTAGAGAAGAAACGAGACTGTCAAAAGGCTCGGATCACAGTAACTGTGACAGAGGGCTCCCGTATCTCATAATAGTCTGAAAAGCACCAGGATCCTAAGAGTTAACTAACACCATTAAAAATGTAATAAGCAAACCTGTAATGTTCTTAAACAGATAACTAAAATCAATAAAAGTTATCAAAATCTTCCAGCATTATTATACCGATGTCAAACATCAACACCATGATACAACATTCAGTGCACGCTGTCTTTTCTGTCCTTTAGGAAAGGAAGGGTTGATTGAGCTATAGATAGGAATAAGCAATCAAAAACTACAGCTAATGAAGAAAGCAGTGGCTGACAAGGCAATTCTGGGGAGTGAGCTAGAGCTGCAGGGAGCAAAAGACAGTTAGGTGATGAACAACATTGTGAGAGTGACACCAGAGCATCACCTGGGAAAAGGAACTCCTCTGATGCAGGACAGTAAAGGGAAAATGGTAATAAATACACCTGCACATACTCGCAGGAGGTGAAAGCGCTGCAAAGCTCCCTGTTATGTGAAGCAGCCTCCAGTCCCCCAGTCTGTCCATGAAGCTGCTGCACTCCTTCTCATTAGCTTCCTGGGAATTTGACCATGTTATCAACTTATCTATAAAACATCACTTCCAAACAAAACATTTCTCCAGGGAAGCCCTGCTCTTCCTGAACTTGCCAACCCGGGTGATGCTGTCCAGACACAAACAATCTCAAGGAGCACGCTGGCATCTCCTCTGGAGAAGCAGAAATTGTTCATCAACAGCTCCAGCAGAACCTTTCCAGGGTAACTGTAGGGCCTTCTGTTAAACACCCTGTGCATCTTTTTAACACTCCACCAAAGAATGGCTGTGGTGGGACATGCAGCCTCCTGCTCACAAAATGCCCTCACTCAGTTTCTTCTTCCTTTCTGTCTTTGCCTCTCTGTCTTAAGATTTATCACCGCAGACCTCCTTTTAACTCTCTAAGGAAGCACCAGAAGGAAAAAGGCTGAAGAACAGGTATCAACCTCAGCCTTCATCATCCCAAGCCTTTGTCAAGGGTTAATCTGAATGTTTCTTTTTGGGGGTAGTTATTCCCCTTGCCTCTCAAGCTCTAGATTTTGCTTCCTTGACTTCTCTTCGAATAAAACTAAACTACTTGCTTATTCACGCCTCAGGTCCCTTCTCTATTTTTCTACTACTCCACAATATCTGGAAAACGAGAGCCTTCTCCTTGATACATGAACTAAACAGAGACACGGGAAACTGGACTCCTGGAAACGGGAAAGGGACAATAAACATTCTCCAGTTACCATCATACTTACTGCTCCAGATCAGCTTTCCTTTAATCAGACACACAGCTGGGAACAGACTGGGAGCTCACCGAGCCCACCCTGACAGCACCCTACACCACAGCACATGCTGCACCAACCAGTACGAGCCACAACCCACCGACATTTCTCATAAGCTGTGCGAATGCCTGTCTGTCAGTCATACGAGCTTCCAGGCAAACAAATGATCCACCTCCTTCAGATCAAGTATGAACAGGCTAACACTGCCGCAACTACAGCAGCACATTCGGGGAAGATGCCTCAGTTACATGCATTACTAGATGAAAAAAATGTATTTCAATACTGTACTCAGGGCTGGTTGCTCTCTCTTGTATCTTGTCCACTCCAGGCATCCATGGAGAAAAAGAGTAGAGAGGACAGATGAGTATTTTTCTTCTGCAGCTGCATGATGAAAAAATAGTTTAAAACTTTTCTGGAACATCCTTCTCCCTCTGACCTGGTTGCTGAGACCACAGCTGGAGATAACTGGTTTGCCACGGCAATGCTATGAATTCAGCTATTTGCCATCCAGTATCTCCGGTGCTCAGCTCTTTCACCCAGCTGAGAAAAGCCCAGTCTTGAAGTACCCCCCGCTCGGTGGCAGGTGAGGAGGCAGAGCCACGAACCCATTTTCACAGCGTCCTTGCCCACTGCACGTGGGATGACAGTAAGACCAAAGCACAACTTTCATCTTATTCTGATTTCTTTTTCTCTTTCTTACTACTTGGTAGCTATGTCTCTGCCACTGTGCTGAGTCCCCAGCTCCAGAGGACCACGTTATTTCAACAGTCTGTGTTCTGCAAATGCTTCAGCAGTGCAGAGCAATCAACACCCAACACTCGTGGATTACGCAACCGGCGTGGAAAAAAAATATAACCAAAGCTTTAAAAAAAACACAGAAGCTAGTAGACAGGATTTCAGCCTCCCCTTAACACCATCACTTGGCTTAACATTATACTGTTGAAAGGTAAAAAGCAGTACCCCGGGAGTGAACGCTGCAAGGCTTCAGGTCTGTGACGAGTGCGGGCGTCCCTCACGTGGTACGTGCTAGGAAGGAAGCTGATCTGGAATGAGCAGGGGTTGTGCAGTAAGGTATGCAATTCTCATGCATTTGTGTGATTGTTTTTACCTTTGCTGCCAAGACACAGACAGTAACAATTTTATAGCCTTCCTGCAAAAAGGAAAAAAATCTCTACTGAGGCTCCAGCTTATGCAAAATGCTGCTGCCAGGATTTTAACTCACATGAGGCAGATGCAGATTCAGAGTGTCACTCCAGTCTTGACGGAGTTACACTGGGCTCTCCTGTTAAAGAAAAAAATCAGACTGGTTTTAAAACTGCAACAGCTCTGTGCCATGCGGGACTGTATCTGCTGGAGCTCTGTCCTCTGGTGAGCTCAGAAGCCAGCCTGGCAGCTATTCCATATACACTTACAACTGATTTATAGAGAAGGCACAGTCGGTAATCGTGCATCCTGCAGGCAAAATTCTGTCCTCATATCCACAAAGCAGTCTTAGATCATCAGTTCAGTGATAATTAGCAGGAAGAGGCTACAAGCACATTGCCCAAATCACACAAACCCTTTGAGTTTCTCTCAGACGCAGAGTAACTGGTTCAAAAAAGGGTCTCGTGATCTTTTTGGGGCTTTGCCATTACTGTCCATTCCTCAGTCAGCGACAGATTACCCCTTTCAGGGCACTGGCTCTCTCTCACACCACAAAATGCCTGCACGTGTCAGCGCAGGAGACTCAGGAGACTGAGCCAGGTGCTACTCTGGGAATCCGAGAAGAGAATTTTCCCCTACATCTGAAGGCGCTCCCAGCGAGAGCCTCGCACACCGGGTCCCTCTGACGTAGCACGTCTAAATTCAGTTGTGTACTTTAACACACTTATGCTTGGACTTTTATGTGCAAAGGACTGCGGGATAAACTGGTACCAAACCTGCACACAGTGCTGCACTGTATTGCAGTGCACTGGTTTGCAAACACCCACAGTAAGAACACCAGACCTATTCTGCAACTTACAGGTATGCACAGAGTCATCAGGAATAACTCTTGAGATCCAATTTGCACTACATACAAAGCTGAATGAGTTGGAATGATGTTGCAAAAAGGACTCTCAGAAGTATGCAGACCTCCTGGAAGGCTCCTCTGAAAATGAGTGTTTAAAGCCTGTTTTGTTTCAAATTGAATAGCTGGGGAAGGCTGTAGTGCATGTGACGGCTCTGTTTAAGCTGTGGGGAGGAGAAAGCCCTTCAAACGCTGCCCATTTCTTTCCTTGTTCCTCCTCCACACACACAAAGACTTCAAATTCACGCAGGGCAGCTTCTCACTGAAGATGTAACAAGGTTTCTTCCAGGGCTTGTTGACACTTCTTACAAGCTAGCCATGGAT